CTCAATTGCTCTCTGGATCTTTCTACCATCACTTCTTGCACATTATCCTGAGCCTACCCAACACGGTGAATAACGGTCGAGGATTTCCTCGACCATTAGACTCTCTACCAAGCGATATTCACCATGCTACCCAAAACCATGGCATCAAATTGAGAACCATCCAAAGGTGATTTGTTGCTCGGTTGCGTAATAAATAATCGATGATTCAAAACCTCACTCGAGCACGGAGTCGTTGTCGCTCCTCTTCAAATTTACTTTTCTCATCAGGAGACGAAGCATGCGCCACGAATAGGCGCGCTGGAGATTTTAATTCAGTTTGTTGACCTATAACTTCATGGGAGCCATATTTCGAGATAGTGAATTGCACCTGGAAATAATGTAAGCTTTATTAGAAGCAGAACCTGCATATTTGCTCCAGCCACATGCGATAAGAAGCGGAACGAACTATCTCTATGTCACACCAACTTGCAGAAAAAGTTGAACGTAAAATGAATACGAAACGTAACAAGAAGATGACCAACCCTATACCTATCCGTAAGATACAGCTTGTACGGAGTATTCACAAAAGCCGATTTTATTTCGTCATATAATTCATTCGACCTTGACGATCCAATGGGAACTTGATGCAACTGAAAAAAAAAACTTGATAGGCCCAGTAAAATGCTCTTGAAATTAGTGGCTATAAAAACTTACTCGAGCAACGTTGCACAAGTACTGCTTAACGACATCAGGTGCAGTAAACAAATCGACAGCAAAACGCGTAAAGCCAAACCCCTTCATTTGTTCCGTTACACCCGATGAGAGTGCAGATATGTTCACCTAAGCAAAAGTGAGTAGAATTCTACACAGTTATTTGATTCAAAATGCAAAATGGATCAAAAAGAAATTCTAAGCGAGAACGACTCCCATTCATAAAAATTCTACTGATTAAGAGATAATTAAAAAACAATCATACCAGTGAAGGGGTTACAACGGTCGAATTGAGCTTCCAATTGTGCCTGCGATCAGTGAGGAGAGTTTCGTCTTCCTTACACCCGAAGATGAACATCGCTAGATCTCGAACAGCTACCAGATTCTCGAGCAACATTGCAGCTTTAGCATCGGATACGGTCATCTGCAACAGAAGACCTCCGTATAATAAAACAAGCTGAACTCGTACCAACATACATGAAGTATCGGCACGTATACTGGATGTTGGAATCTATCACGGTTCGCTTGATACCACCGCCATGCCTCATCAGCCATGTTGCACCGCATATTTTCGAGAACGCGAACGCGACCTTCCATAACTTGTTCGATGCGCTTCTCCTCATCACGCAACTCTGAAAGACAATGGAACTGTGAAAGCAACAACAGAAGCAGAGCACGGTTTATAGAATGCTGAAACACTTTCCTCTGCACAGGTCCTACCACCTTAGAGGTAATTACCTAAGACGAATAACATCAGAGAAAAATTTTGACCGTATCATTTATTTTGTGCGGAAGTGGTGTAGTGGCAAGACTCGCTGCTTACCACGCGAGCGGTCCGGGGATCCTGAGTCGCCCGGGCCAACCAAGCCTTCCATCCCTCCGGGGTCGGTTAATTGGTACCAGACTTGTCTGGGAGGATAAAAACACTGACTTGTACATCGGCTGGCCCCCGCAAGTCATTGTATAGGCCACATCGCATTCAAACGCCACTACGAATGTACAAATGGAAGTAGAATGCGTGCCGCATCCCAAAAAGGGATTGATCAACGGCAAATGCTTTATCCTTTTATTTATCTATTTATTAGTGAGGATATCACTTGCACATTTATATAATAGAAGGGCGAGGTCAAAGAGGAAGCGCCCCTTATGGAACTCTACTATGGAAAAGACTTAAAAAAAAAACAATACTAGCATAGCTAACACGGCATCTTGTCGCCTTAGTGATCCGATCTCGTTTTTTTGATTCCCATTCCTTACGAGGTAAACACGGGTGTACAACAAAAAAAACATGCAATGACAGATGCGTAGTAATTTTTGAGTTCTTTCAAGGTAATAATTTGTTTAAAGGGTTACGCTTTATTTTAACCCTTTCGGCCCTGGCGGTGGCAATTGCCACCATCCAAATTCAAACGCTTGCATTGCCGCTGAAACAGCATGGTTTTTCTAATCCTGCTAGAGGTTGCTTCAGTCAACCTTCCCCTTCCTAATTATGAGAGCTAAACCTGCCATTTCATTGTGTGTTGCTGTAATATTACAAGTATTTGTGTACAAGTGCAACAATGAATGGGCGCTGGCCCCCAACCGGCCAAGTAAGTGTCACTTTTTCTTAAAATACTTGAAGTAGATCCATTCTTAAATCAAAATTATGGGTTATAATGTTGTGCAAGATTATAAACTTTTTCGGCATAACTATGAAATTTGAATTGTTTCGACATAAGCTTAAAAACTAAGAAGGTGGGCCAATTTTCAAAGCTTCTTAGTTTCTTTGTTTGTGATCGAATAGCTTCCAAATTTCGCCATAATGATACCTATATGCTCACAAGTAATAAACAATAGCTAGAAGAAAAATTTCTCCACGGGGAAAAATTCAGGTCCGAAAGGGTTAAAACAGGCACACAATAATTAGTATCCTTCTATTATATAAAGCGCTAACTTTGTGTGTCGGTTTGTGTATCTGTATGTGTGTGTGTGTGTGTGTGTGTGTGTATGTATGTGTGTCCGTCCGCAAAATGAAGTGAGTGAGAAGGAAGCTCATGGGATAAACAAACCGCTAACAAATCGGGTAGCTTACAGGATTTGAGATATCAATGTTTTGTAGCAGGATAGTTGTGATAACACTCTTAGGGCTATATAAACACCTGCTTAGCACACTTCCGTTCATTCCACATGGTGCTGCAGTGGCAGCTGGAGGGCAGTGGAGAGAGGAAGGGAGGATGAGGAAGGGAAGCGAAAAATCTACCGTCATATCATGATTGTGTCCCTTCTACTGTATGAAACACCATTGTGTTGCATACGCGTCACTTCCAGAGGTGTTGGTGTCACAGGAGGAAGGGACCATAGCGGAGGATAGAAAGCTTGCGCAGGAAAGGAAGGTCCCGGCGGTTGACGGGGGACTAATCTGGTATATATATATAAGGGGTGTTCCCAAAATTTACTTGCGCCAAAATTCAAAAACTCATTAGAAAAGGTGTATCTATTATTCTCATTTTTCGCGCTACTAATTAGATGTGCAGAGAGGTTCTCTGGTGAACTGCATCCTTATTGGGGTAAAACTGCCAGTATCTCCGAGATGGCAAGAGGTGATCCAATGCGACCTGCAATCAGTCACATGCCTGAGGAAGGGACTGCATCGAAGGACATTGCTTAATTTCTTGTGTTTCCCCTCAAGACTGATTGGATGGTAGTCGAGCGATGCAGCAGAGTAGGAACATTCGTTGACAAGTCTGGGTGAAGAAGTATGTTTAGCGTTCCCGCGGACAGCATGATTAAAATGGTTGGTTAGCAATCCACGGTGCTCCATCAGAAGGATGGGGAGATCGCTGAATGTATCGAAGTCATCGATGGGGTGCATTGTCAAGGGTAAAGCTGCAGTGATGGTACTCTCACATGCAGAAGTGCCAGTTCCTTTCGTACAAGCAACAAGCAGCAGAAGGGCCAAAAAGTTGGAAGGTCACTAGCGCGCTTCACTGCCGACACGCAACTCTCGATCGTTTTTCCCTGCTGAGTGCATGCTCACTGTGGAGCCGATGTTGAGCCGTCAAAACGACCACATTCTTAGTGGAAATATCGGTAGTGCCATCTCACGAGGAAAGATTGCTGGAAGAACGGCTAATCCGGCATCAGTAAAGATTTGAAGGTGAGTCACGGCCAATGGTGAGACGCCCTTTAATTTCGCCGATTAATGTGTGAGGAAGATTAGCAGGGACGTGCATACAGTGGAACGTAGGACTTGGTCCATATCCCACCTTGGAAGCGAGCCGTGGGTATTTTTCCAGCGGAGCTTCAGCCACGGCAGGCAAGCTCGATAAGACGGTGAGATGTGGAGCTGTGCCGAGTTGGTAGCGCGAGTAATAACTTCGTATATATATATATACGATATATATATATATATATATATATATATATATATATATATATATATATATATATATATATATATATATATATATATATATATATATATATATATATATATATATATATATATATATATATATATATATATATATATATAGAGTTGAAAGGATGCAGAGAATGATCAAGAATGAGCTTACTCATTCTTTCCATGGACAATTTTCTTTCCTCAGCCTGCACTTCTTCTTCCATTTTGCATAAATTATCATCCTCTTCGGCATACTGTTGCGTTTTTTGTGCATATTCTTTTTTAAACTCCTAAAATTTAGATCGTAAACAATAGAGGGAGACAACCACTTAAAAGTAAGGTGACAACACCTGATATCCTTCCATTTGTTCTTTCGCAGCAGAAACATTCTCCCGTACACGATCTACCTGTTTTCGCATCGAGTCCATTTCTTGCTCCCAACTGTCACTCTTCTTCTTCAGATTATTAAATCGCTCACTAGCCGCAGATACCTAGAAGTAACTATGAAAACGACTGTAGTAAGAATTTAAAACGCTCCAGAATCCATGACAAACTTTCTCAGAGTACAAATTCCTATTAGTGAGCGTATCGACGTCGTCTGTCACCACTCGCATTTGTTGCAACTGAATGAAGTAATTAGCTGCATCCAAATCGCTTTCAAAATTTAAAGAACAAAAAAAACCAACAATACTATTCTGCCTTTCTGAGTATTGCTTTTCCTGCGCTTCGTCCTTTTCAATTTTTGTTTTCAGCTTTTTTATCTAGAAGATGAATTTTTACATAAGAAATTAAAAGAACGAAGACTGTCGCAGACGCTATCGCCAAACAAACTGGAGCCTCACCTTTTTCTCAGCTTCCTTCACAGAAGATTGGAACTGATCTACTGCAGCTTCCTCTTCATTGAAGCGCTCTTCGCATTCTTTGAAGTCCTCAAATTTAAGCATTTTGCTTCAATGTCAAACAAAATGCATCAAAGATAATGATCCGCTCACCAGTATGGCCTTCTTCTTCTGGAGTATTTTGATTTTCGTTCGAAGAAACTCCTTTTTCTTGTAATTCTCAACACGAGGAAGGAGCATCGCGATCTCGCCTGTATACGTGGAAGTAAAAAACACGAAAAAGTGCAAATAAACTGCTACCTTCAATTGACTGAAGTCGATGTTGAACTTCACGAGCATTCTCTATGTGAACACTCTCGTGCTTCTTCTTCCTGATCAACTCCTCATGCTGTTCCAACAAAGATGGGTTTCCAGCCTGAGCGAATAATTATTCAAAAGAATCACAGATCTCGACCACACGGATAACCCTGACTTAACCAGGCATGATTAATTAATCAATATGAATGATAATGGCTTAAACGGACGCATAAATGATTTGACTGAATTGCAACAATAAAAAAAAACGTGGGCAAGGCACTGACGATACGTACACCTCTCAGTGTCATATAGGGAGACACGGGCGTCTGTCCGAAAAGCTTTCACTTTTGTCTTGAACAAGAAATGTACAAGGTTCGTCAATCTAAATATCGAAAATAATCTGTCCATAATTATAATTGACACTATAACTTCGTAATATGTCATATTAATAATGTGACACACACAACGGTTCTTTTCACAGCGCACAGAAACTACGGTATCAAGTGCACCCTGCGACAAACTATCAGCCATCTTAGTTTCTTTGCAACTCCCTCTACATCATTTGGTGCTTCTCTGCTTCAACGACTTTTATTTAAGCTTTAATAGTATTACCAGGGACAAAGGCCAGGGCGAAGACTGCGATGAAATTTTTCAGAGAGGTAAGTCTGCCTAAGCGTCAGCTAATCGTTGAAAACCGAAGAAACAATGAAAGAGCTTGGAACGGGCTGTACGCTTCCACCTTCACGTTTGAATTCTCGTCTCTTGGTGAATTCAATTCCAAGCAATGTCTTGGGAGGAGGAGGAGGGGCAGCGATGGGAAGGTTAAGTACATATTTTTTCCTGTGTGTCACCGTTAATTAAAATGAGTCCTACTGCTGCTCGCCTGCACCTTTTCAGCTGAAATGGTCTTTAATGGTCAACCTCATTTACTCCACACATTGTGACAACCGTGCAGAATTGGGGTGTGGTTCACTAGGACAGAAAGCGACTTTTTCGCGTTTCGCAGCGCGAAACATTTTCGCTGCGGAACCTCAGGTCCACCGCTGATCATGAGTGGACCTGAGTTCCCGCAGCGAAAAATGTTTCGCGCTGCGAAACGCGAAAAAGTCGCTTTCTGTCCTAGTGAACCACACCCAAAATTGCGGCAACCGTGCAGAAAAAACGGTGGAATAATCACTGTTGAATAGAATTCGAAAAAAGTTCTCAACTGGATGTTGTATGAAGCAACAAAATCGCGCACGGCCCGTTGAGTAGATCTCGAGCCATTGATGAAGAATGCGCAAGCACTCGGCCTGTGGAGGAGAATTTTAACGCGCTGCTCTCCTTTCGTCGCGTCTGCTCTGGAAATAATGAAGCAATATAACCAATCAGATTGCTTGAAAAGCTCATCCCTGCC